AAAAAATGTTAACAGTTTGTCGTATTACCAAAAACAAAACAAACAAAAAAAAGATTGCACGACATTTAAAAAATAGTTTGGGGAAAAAAAGAAGCCATCACCGTAATCGAACGCATACCAAAACTAAATCTAGAAATGGAACATGTTTTTTTTTTTGATTTTATGTATTTCAGAACAAAAGGTCGGTCCACACACATGCACTCACACACAACATCGAAAGAAAAGCAGAGACAACATCAATAATGTGAGAAAACAACGAAATAAAAACTGTTTTTTGAGATCTCAATACCATTCGCAAAACGGGAAAAAAAGAACATGCTTATGGAAGAAAACAAAACAAAACAAAGAACTGTTTTGATTTAAATTTTTTCTTCATTCAGACGGGTGTAACTTTTCACAAATTACACGTAAAAAGAGAAAAAAATAAGCATATGAGAAAAATAAAAATTTAATATTCAAATATAACAGGTTATACTTGAATATTTGGTTGTGTTGATCTAAAAACAAAATATTTATTTCCGTTATCAGTTCAGTTTTTTTTCGCAAAGGAGGCAGACACCATTCTTACTTAGTGTTCATAGTTGTAGGTGTTGTCGGTTGTGACGTTGTAGTATCTGTTAACGATTCAGTACGCACTTTCTCAACTTTTTCTTCGATGTGTTTATCAAATTCAGCCACTTTTGGATCTGATTCATCACGAGGTTTACCAGTGCCTAAAAGTTATGTATTAAAATTGACAATCGAACGTTTTAGCTGCTAGTTTAAGATGAAAGTCTTCCACCATCTAGTAGGCAATACGAATGAATACAAAACTAAGAATTAAGTCGAAAAAAATGCCTACCGAAGATGCTTGGATTTCTTGCGTCAGATTTGACTGCTGCTGAACGTGGTAACAATTGCAAACGAGGCCGTTCAATAGCATTTGAGAGAGATTCTAAAGACATATGAGGAACAATCAAGCTAAAGAAGCGAGAATACGCGCACGAATACAAGCTAACCGTTTGTTTTATCATTAGACGATGTTTGATTATCAAGATCGTGTATACTAGATTGATTATTATTTGTGTCACCTGAATTTCTTAAATCACGCGTCGTTGATCGACGTCGTGGTTGTCTATATTGCTGATTTTGTTGATAATCTTGATACTGATTATAATTACCACCGTGGTAATTTCCCCTGTTATTATTGTAATGTTGTTGTTGTCCGCGAAACATATTGTTATTTCCACGATTATTTCCTCGCTCATTTCTCATTCCACTACCGCCCATCATCGGTCCACGTGTAGGAAAGCGACCACGTTGATGCTGGAAATTGCCACCCATCATTCCTCGATTGTTATATCTCCCAGCACTACCTCTTCCACTACCACCTCTTCCACCGCGTTGTTGTCCACCAAATTTATCAAACATAAATGGTTGAGACTGTTGTTGATAATCACCTGAATTGTTTGTAGGTGAAAAATGTGGTTGAGAATTACCAAACGTATCAGGATGATCATCAGTTGAATCTAAACCGGCTGGTTCACAATCAGCCCAATTTTTACTATGTTGACGTTGAGTTAACGGACCAGCTGAACCAGACTAAATGGAAAAAACTTAAGCTTTAATTTAAACCAATTTGTAAACTTTGTTCAACTTTATCTCTATAATTTTGCGCTCTTTTCCTGTTATCACCTGCTGATTTTCCATATCTGTTAATTTGTCTTCATCATTACTATCACGTAAATTTTCTTCGTTGTTTTCATGATCATACTGTTCTTTATCACCTTCTAGTTCATCATGCAAATGTTCTAATCCATCAGTTTGTCCTCCTTCATTATTTGTTCCAGGTACAACAGCTGCTGTAAATACATCATCATCATTATTCGATGGGCGTTTTCGTAAACTATATGTTCGTTCACGCGATTGCTCATTGTGCGATGCGGATGAGTTTGTGCGGGGTTGTTGCTGTTGTCGTCTATTATGATGTTCACCATGAAATTGTTGTTGCTGTTGATAATTAAAACGATTTTGGCCACGATTACCTGATTCATTGTTATAGCTTTGTGTCATTAGTTCTCCAGCATAATAGGGGGATTGTTTTTGATAATTACGACTATTGTTGTTTTGCGGATATTGTTCATAATAACCTAAGGAAAAAAATAGTCAATTTAAAAACATGAAACCTATCTATAACCAGTGAAAAAAAGAAAAAAGCCGTTTTTTTAGCTGCTAACACATCCAATATGTTCCGCTAACAAATTGATTGTCCGTGAGCAATCGTATGCGATGTATATCAGCATACCAGAATCATTTTGATAATAATTTGACCTTCCTCTCATATTTCCATCTCTTCCATCATACTGTCTATCACCGCCATTTTGCTTTAACTGTTGTCCACGCCTTTGAGGTTGTTCTTGATGATAACCACCACCACGTCTTTGCCCATAGTCATTCTCATCACTGTAGTCGCCTAAGGTCGAACAAAAGCATTATTATGACGGAAGTACGAGTCCTTAGGAAGATCACCCACCTTTGCCACGTCCTGTAAAACCTTGGCTATTCTGTTTTTGTGATACACTAGCTACATCGATTCGAATACTTTTGTCATTGATCATCTAAAAACGAGACAGAGACATGATAACTAAGATATAGAAACCGCTCTATGTACATCAATTTTTCGCTCAGCCGAATCGAGTATCAAAACGCTCATACTCCTCATGTCGATCGTAGGAACCATCAGCCTGACATAAATAAAACCCTCAGATGTTGATCTTACCAACGTACACGTGAAACAAAATTGTCTAGATATTAAGATTAATTAACCAGAATTCTAACTGGTGAATAAACTGGAAACCAAAGTTGTTATAACAACTCTTGTTTATAGAAAATTGTCTAGGCTCTACGAACTAGTATTCGTTAGATGTTGCACATGTACAGGGTAAATGGAACATTTGACGTTAAACAGATTAAATCTGTTGACTTGACCATTCTCAGTCAAACTGAATGAGATTGTTTAAAAGATTTTGGAAGCGGTAAAAGTTAACAACTAAGAATCTTCTCCATTTTTCTAGTGAGAGCTGTAATGTATTTCTACACGATCGAACTCACTTAAAATAAATAAAGCTTAAATCAAATGTAAATTCGGAAAAAAAATTGAAATTGAAATCGAGATTTATCACCACATTACCCAAGGATTAGGTTAGATTTGAGACCAGTGCAAATTTTTCATCACTTAATTTGGCGGAAACCTATTAAACAGTATTGATTACTTCCCGAAAGGATTATGACGAGAGAAATGCAAAATACTTTTTTTCGGAATTTTCTTGAGAAATTTGATTTGAAGATAATTTTTATGTATTTCTCTAGATTTCGATCCAGATTAAATTCAGTAAAAAAA